AGGTGGTACAATCAGAAGTCATCTTTTAAGCTAGAAAGCCTTAAAAATTGTACTAAGCTAGCCAATTAGTGTAGAAATTAAAGGAGAAAATTTTTAAAATATCCAATTTTAAACTGGAAAATTTTAAAAAAGCAAAACCTTACAGCAATAATAGTAACATCTGCAATCTTGGTCAACAAGAGAAATTAGCTATTACAACATTCACAGACAAAAAAAAACAAAATTTTTAAACCTGAGATCAGAAATTATGTCCTGTTGTATTCATACTAAAAAGTTCCTTTTGAGTTCATTTGAAGTGGAATAAAAAGAATGTATGTATATCCTCGATCAATACATTTCCAATACACTTGATTTTACCCTCCTCCTCATCTTCTACCAGGTATAAGGTAAAAGACAATAAATAGGAAGACTGAATTATTAGCCAACACATTTTGTACAATGTCAAGGCAAAAAGATGATATTGGAAAAAACCTGGGCATAGATTAATATTTTGATAATAATTGATAATAATATTTGGGTTTTTCCCCAATATCACCTTTCCTAACAGAATTACTACTCTCCCAAACAAACAAACACAATTGTATCAAGAAATCAAAAGAAAATAGTTGAATCCATCAACACAACAATAAAAACAATATTTCCACGTGTGATAGTACTTGACATAATTTTCAGTTGAATACGATAGTGTTTTCTAAATTCTTCCAGTTGCTAGGGACATTTTGTTTTGTTGTTAATGGTTACTTTGTTTTTAATAAATTCATTTCATTTTTGTCTTGAAACAGTCCACATAGGACAAAATGTATCAGCTAATACAGTTTTTCTATTGTCTTTTACCTTTTTTATTTTTTATTTATTTTTATTTTATATATATGTAAGGAGGCACAGTGGTAGCAGCTCAGATTGAGGAATGAGAGAGCCAAGTTCAAATGCCAGTCAAATTCATTACATTGACTTACATGCTAATACTCTTGGGAAAGGTATTAATCATCTTCACCCTCCAGCTATGGGTAAATAGCAGGACAGATTGGGTTCTATAACCTAGGATGGCAACTGATCTAGGAGAAGGACAACTCTGAATTCAAAACCTGCAGAGGGTCATTTGGAGACCTTGTGGCACATAGTGCACCAGATTTCTCTATCTGGCCCTTCAAAAAGTGTGGTTGGTTCTACAGAAAGCCTTCACCACTATAATCAAATCATATGTGCTGGTGTCTGGGCTGTTAGTTCCTAGGAACTGAGCTGCTTGACCCTCATACATTGAATACATGGGGGAGTCCACCATGTAGATATGTGTGTGTGTGTGTGTGTGTGTGTGAGACAACTTATAATTTTAAGTCTTTCTATTTTTGTTGTGTCTTTGTTTACCTGCTACAGGAACATATGATTAAAATAAGGTATCTTAGTCTTGGAGATACAATATTCAAAAGTACACAAAAATTTTGTGTTTAGTAAATACCACCATTTCTTCACCTGCTGAAACTAATTTCAAATCACATCTAGGTGACATCATCTATAGAGCTCAAACTTAATTTAAAATTATATTGATGTTGTTTGTTATATGTTGATGAATATGTGGCTCAAATTGATAGTAATGTTCACCCAACACAAAGTCCAAGAGCCACTTAAGATAGAGGGATACTGTAGGTTGATGTAGGAGTGAAAGACAAGAAGTGAAGTTCATGAAGTTATGTTGGAAAGATAACAGTTAACCATAGACTCTGAGCAATTAAGAGTCCAGTGATCTGGAAAACATCCTGCCAGGAGTCTGTTCTACAAAACAGCAGTTCTTAAGAAGTTATCCAAGTTGTACTTAATTCTTACAAATGGAATACAAAGGGAATGAGGATGACAGCCTTAAACATAACCAGCCTGCTGATGAGTCCTGCTACTTTTCATGCGGCACATAGAAATTTCATAGAAAATTCATAGGTGAAATTAAATCATAAGTTGACTTGTCATTTGTCAAAATTTTTCACACCACAAATAACAAAATTATATATATATATATATATATATATATATATATATATATATAGAGAGAGAGAGAGAGAGAGATGGACAGATATATATATATATATATATAGAGAGAGAGAGACAGATATATATATATATATATATATATATAGAGAGAGAGAGAGAGAGAGAGAGAGACAGATATATATATATATATATATATATATATATATAGAGAGAGAGAGAGAGATGGACAGATATATATATATATATATATGGACAGAGAGATAGAGAGATGGAGAGTAATTTTTAAATTAATTTTTAATGACATTATTTCTTATTAATATATTGTTGTTATTTTTAGTGGATCCATGTGCTTCAGTTGCTACATTGAGAAAGAAAAAAAATAAAAAAACAAACAGCAAAATTAACAACCAGTCTTGATCAAGGAAAGCTGTCTTCCCCACCTGAATCGAACCTGTATCCCTTCAGGGAAACTGCTTCTATAGACCAAGAGTAACTGTAAGCAATTAGGTTATTTTGCTTAATGAATGTAAAAATTGGTTCTGAGTGCCTTTCGTTAAACTGTTAGCCACTCTCAAGTATTATTTTTTGTTATACTACTATAATAAAGTGCTACCATAGATGGTATAAAAGTCGCTGAAAGTAAACAATTTCTTAATTTACAGTACGACCAGTACTTTATTGTTCTGTGCATATTGTTGTTATGGGTTGGTTTCTTGCTTTTTTATAAAACCAACAAATTTTTGGATGATTTTTACATTCATTAAGTCTAGAAACAAAAACACTTGTATGTATAAAAGATAAACATAAAAAAACTAAAGACAAGTACCTTGTCACTCTTGTTTAATAGTGTGTATATATATCTTCAAACAGTTTAATAAACAGACAAAAAACAACTCTTGATAATACATGTAGTGAGAGTTGAAAACACTTATATTAAAAAGAAAAAGAAAACTTAGGAATGTTTATCAATTGTATAAAACAACATACTCAGAAGTTGAAAAAACAGACCTTGTTGATCATGTTCAACAAAACTTGTTAAAATAATTCTTGCTGCAGAAATATATATATATCTCATAATAATCTGGGATGTGCCGTCTATGTAGTCTGAAAATAATCAGGGACATGCCGTCTAGATAGGCAAGGTAGGCAATACCTACCCTGAATAAAATAGATCAGCAGCAACATTGTCCTTCTGTGACATAATATGCACCTAATCCAACAAAATTATGAAAGTTACTCTGAATATTATGCATAAAATGCAAAATACTTTTTTTTTTGTCAATTTACTACATAAAGGTCACAAGATGCCTACCCTGAGTAATTACAGATGGCACATGCCTTTATATATATATATATATATATATATATATGTGTGTGTGTGTGTGTGTGTGTGAAAAAGTGTGTGCTGTATTTACTGTTAACAATAGCCTGGGATCAACTTTAATTTTTCCCATAAATTCCTTCTATCTTTTTTATCACTAACAACTGGAAAAATAAAAATTGTAATTTCAGAGAACAAAGAAAAATCCTGTTTATTTATTTTGTTTTTTTCTCCAATAAGCAATAGCGATTTCAATAGAGTCATGTGCTTCTCACATGGACCATTAAATCATACTCATTATGAAAAGCTAGAGGCTGAGGGTTGACAAATCACCACTCAGTAAGTAATGTCATGCCCAATCGGTATTGAATTCATCGTTTACCTTCTACTAGAATAGGTGCAACCCAAGGCTAAAGAGCTCAAACTGCTCTGATAATTTTACCTCTAGTTGTGATATTTATATTAGTTACTTTAATATCACTATATGTGGTATCTGTTGGTTTCAAGAGACTCTGGATCCACACCCCAAAGAGTTATGCCTCAGCTGCTGATGACGGCACAGCATCTGTTATGGCTGTACAGGCCCACACAACAGTCTTGATTGCAATGAATGCATGTAAAGATGCCCTCCCCCAATGTCACTGTGTGGTTTTCTTTCCTTGCAGCAAGCCACCGTTTCTTCTCTCCTCAGTTCAGCCTTCAGGATAAATCACATCTCAAGCCTGAGCAATTCTTGGCAACGTCTTCCCACCTCTCAATGTCACTTTTGCAGACATCCTTGAAGTGAAGATGAGGTCATCCTCTTGCCATGGCCAGTTCCCCATACAGAAGGATCTTCAGAATCAGTAGATGGGAGGATTCCAAAGATCACTATATAAAAATGCTATTTTAGCGAAAAGTGTAGTATCAGTTTTCTATTATTAGAGAAATGAAATAAGAAAATTTCTCACCAATTCCAATACATTAATATTTAATTTACAATTGAATAAAAAATAACAGAAAAAAAACACAAGCCTATAAAAACTTTATTATATCCTTTATATGATCTGCACAACCTTTGTCTAGTAAATGTCTTATTGGAATAATTAGGATATAAAAATTCTGATTGTATTTATATCAATGCAACCAGAAGTTATCGCAAGAATAATATTAATGAAACAAATATTAATAAAAACTAATATTAAACATGATGAAATTAATATAATGAATATTATAACAACACTTTTAATCTGTATAATAGCCTTTTAAATAATGACAATAGGTATATGAAAGTTACTCTAGAGTAGGTAGGGCAATTTTAAAAGATATTTTTAGTAAAAAAAAAAAAGTGCACCTTATATGCTGTCAAATATGGTACTTTAAGAGCTTTCTTTTTTTTTGACAGTAAGTATTTTCAACAGACATCAAACAATTTCCCAAATTCAATAACCTGCAAAAATATTTCTAATAATAAATTCAATGATAGTGAAATAAAAAACTAAACTAAATCATATTGGTAACCCAACTTGATCTCTTCTATCCGCTTCAGTGGAAGCCTTGGCACCAATTTACTAATCCAACCAGCAATCAGGGTTTAGTTAAAAGACCGAGTTTTGATTGCAAAGTTTGGTAGCAAACCTGCAATTGTCTAGTCCAGAGGAAACCAGTACACTACAATTTTATTCATGATCCATGGCAAGTATAGGTATTGATTACTTACAGGTATTGTTTGTCCACACAGAGAATTAGTGTTCATAAGCATGGCTCCTATAGCTGTCAGATATTTTCCTGTGTCACCCCAAGCAATCACCAAACTGATGAGACCAGCACATGCCAAGGATGTTAATGTGTTGCTTAGTTCCAAGGGGATGTTTTCCAATCCTTGACCAGTGGTCAGTTCCATTAATAACTGGAACATTCCCTCTATAAAAGAAATAAAACAAAAAAAAAATCATTTTTCATAAAACTGAAAAGGAAGAAGACTATGGGTGAGGTGGTGATTTGAAATCTACTTTTATTTTGCTATGATTTGTGTGCTTCTGTTATTAAATCCATTATCACATTTGTTTTTCATTGGTTCATTTTCTAGTTTATCAACACTTTGCAGGTTATTTAAACCCAGAAAATATTTTTTTAGATTGCAAGATTTTTTTGAGGAGTAGGTAGGGAAATAATTATGATTCAGTGATAATTACAAATTACTAATTAACCCAAAGCTGGAGGGAAAAGGTGGATTCATACCTGTCCTAAGGTTATTTGCATACAGGAAAATATAATGAACCCAACAGGAATTGAACCTCAACTCTCTGAAAATCCGTTGTAATTAATAAACAAATGTTAATTCCTAAACGACATTCATTATTCATTAAATGTAAGGAGAAAAAAAGAAAAGGAATAATTATTTTTTCAGATTACAAATGCAATTACATTTTTATCAAATACTTTCAATATTAATCCAACATTAATTTCAATATTATAACAAAGTCAAATATACAAGGCGAGTCAAAATTATGTTAACATTAATATGATAGGAATCATTTATTCAGAGTTTACTGAACAAACTCCACCTGTCCACCAGCACAATTGATGCACAAAACCCAGCGACCAACAGTACAATTTAGTGCCTTGATACACATTTATAGAGACATACACAGTTGTGTATTCCTTCAGTGGCAAAGAAAAAAGTAAGTTTGAATTATTAAGTAAAAATAAGAGATAGTTTTCAACATTAACTTTATTAAACAATATATTAATTGCTTGCTTTCATTTTGTTCTGCCACATTTTAGACAACTTCTATAGAATTTGTCTATATTTCTGAGATGAGGTATTATGTACACAATTTACATTATTCAGACTATTGTCCTCATCTTTGTTACCATATTTATCACAACGTTTCGGCCATTGTACTCTTCAGCCTTCTTCAGGTGGTTGGAATGTCGAACTGAACCCTTTATTTCGCTCACTGGGATAGACTGTTCTAGTTCCGCGTGCCATGTCTAATGAATGTCAGTTAGCAGTTATCTCCTGTTAATTCCCCTCTCCAAGTTCTCCACCACCTTAACCAGGTATTGAACTCGTACTCTTTGGGTCCTGTCACTGGATCTAATTGATAACTGACTTCCATTAGACATGGCACGTAGAACTAGGACAGTCTACCCCAGTGAGCAAAATAAAGGGTTCAGTTCGACATTCCAACCACCTGAAGAAGGCCGAAACGTGATAAATATGGCAACAAAGATGAGGACAATAGTCCAAACAATGTAAAAAGTGAACTTCTACATGAAAAAGAAAGCCAGTTAAATATGTGAATTCAATATGGGAACAAGTGCATCAAAAGTATAAACTGAATATATAATAGAAAACTATTTTGTAACTTTTTAAAAACTGCTGTAAACTTTTACACACAATAGATTTCTTGAAATAAAAAATAATCCTATTCTGAAAATGTTATTTTCTTCCATCTACAATGTTAGAATTAATAAAGAAAAAAAATGCCAATTTTGACGACACACACTAATATTTCATCTGTCACTAAACAATAAAAAGTTTACTTTTTGAATGAAGTTAGTTAAGACTAAACACTCCAATTGCCATCTAACAGCAAAAAAAAACTTTTTGTGTACCAAAGAAATGGTAAGGGGCGTATGTTAGAATAGTTACCCAAGATATCTGCTGGCTCTCCCTTCATGCCTTCTGGTAACTGTCCTTGTAAAAGATCCAACAATGCTCGTAATGCCTTCACACACAATTCAGGATATTGCTTTTGGGTTTCCCGTACAAGCTCAAACAGGAGATTCAACCCCATTCCCACAATCTGAAAAAAGAAAAAAAGAAAATTTAAGAAATACAGAAATAGCATCAAATTAGACAACTATCAAAATAAAAGTACCAAAAATATCTTTTTTGTAAAAATAGAGATGGAGAGAGACAATTAGTCAAATACTATGAAGACAACAATGCAATAGATGCAATAAACTACATGCTACTAACCTTCACTGCATATACATGTATAGCTGTCTACTCGTATTCAAGGATATCTGTCTAATAGGATGGCTAACTAATCCCTATTGCAGACGCTTGCTCAGGCGCATTTGTGTTTATTCAACACCCACAGAGACCAACTATGGTTTATACTGCAACTATGCTGAGCAGACCTTAGCTTCTGGGAAAGAGTGTGTTATCTAGAGTGATCGACAATTTGAACAAGGCCAGCACACAAGCCCTCAGCCATGATGACTTGTGACTTTGTGCTAGTACAGCTATCAATGGCATCCAAGGGTTCCGTCTACCCAATTTCACTCACAAGGCTTGGGTCAACACATGGTGTGGTTTTCAAGCACTTTCCAAAGGTGCCGCCATGCTGGGATCGACCCCTCGAGTCTGATAACATCAGGAAGTCTCCTTCCTGACAAATTGACAATGGTGAGATTTCAACCCAGGTCTCATTGTCAGAATGTGAATATTCTAACCAATCAGCCATGTGCCCACACTGCATATACATTACATTATAAAATATGCAAAGCTTGAAATAAAAAAATTAAATACATTTTGCTCATTTTTAAAATCAGGAATAACTTCATTTATGTGCCATGTGCCTTCAGGATGTGGATGATCATGGCTCTCCACAATTTCCTATCCTTTGTAGCTCTTAGTAATGTTGTATACTTACTATTCTTCCCAGTCCCTGTTCCATCATCTATTTACACAGGCTCATTAGGTAGGTTACTCGCTGCTTCACCCTACTTCACTTAACTTCAATACATCCTGTGAATATCAAATTCTCCAACCCTCTTTCCTCATTATGTTTCCCAGAAATTTCAACTATCCCTTTTGTTTCCATTTTCCTTAAAACCTTCTCACTGCTCACAAGCTCCATCTATTGTATTCTCAAAAAGCTCTGTTGCTTCAAGTCTCCTCTTCATCTTTAAAGAAATTGTCCAACATTCACAACCATATAGGAGGGTTGATATTACACGGCAGTACGGCTGTCTTTTCTTTGTTTCTAATGAAAGTTTCCCCATTTCTTAATACTTTGTTTAACTTTTGAAAGGTATCTTTTAATATTTCACTGTCTCTTTGGATTTCTGTGTCACATTTTCCATCCCATCACTATTTTTTGTTCAGTTAGACAGCATGACATTTTTGGTGCCAGGAAAAATGTTTTACAAATTAATTTGTCTATTTTCCCTAAGAATACACCAAAACTCTAATCCTAATGTGTTTTTAAATCTACAAATCTACCATTCATCATTGCATCAAATACTGTTGCCATATATGGTCTGGTGCCTCCACTGTTAATCTTGAGGTCCTAGACAAAATTCAGAGTTGGATATGCAATGTAATAGGTCCTGACCTGGCATCTTGTCTACAGTCACTTTTTCACAGATATAATGTGGCTTCCTTCTGTCTTTTCTACAAATATTTTCATGGCAACTGCTCCTTCAGGTTTGAGCTTATTATTATTTTGTTTCTGCAATAAGTCTTTTTTTTTTTTTAGGAGGAGATGCAAGAAATGCCATATTAAGCTTAAATATTTTTTCACTGTCATTAATGTTCCTAATATTGTTCTGAGATGATATATATATTTATTAGAGAAAAGAAATATGATAAAGTGGCAAAGTCTTTGTGCAATATGTTTCATCCTTCACATGACACAAAAACTTTTTTCTATTTTGTCATACTTCTTTCCCTTAATTGTTCTTGATATATAAAGAATTATTATCATATATGTATAGTAAGGTAATGAAAGGTTTGGTAATCCATATGGATAATTCCAAAGAGGATGTAATCCAAAGAGCTCAATGTAACAAACCAAATATTAATTAAATTAAAAAAAAAAAAAAAAAAAGAAACAACCTTAAGGTTCCATGACTATAATTTATTTCCCCAGAAAATATATTTTTCCTGGTTCATCAGATTACATCTCTAGTTACAAAGGAATTTGGTTTACAAATTTACATGTTTTTATTTTATTTTTAATATAAGTTTTTGAAGGATAGTTTTAAATTGATGTAAGGTGACAGAGGGAGGGGAAGGACCATAGAACGATCAAAATTAGAAATGGAAGGTAGGGAAAGGATTGTGTTTAAACCCATCTTTATAAAGTTACATAGGTTCAAGTGTACTCAGTCAAGAGGCCAGACAATTTGACCTCTTAAATAAGTCTTTTGACAGGAAAAGGAAAGAAGACAAATGGTAAAGCAGGGGAGGAGAGAAAATTTTAATTTTAATTTTTATATATTATGCAATCCTCAATGATGGCCTGTCTGAGTTCCAGTTTATTGTGACATGAAAAAAATAACTCACCCACTTCCACCCTCTGAGCTTACTTTCTATTTAGCGTAGATCTGACATTTATATGTTTAACCAAGACATACCCACAAGTCTATTTTAATTCTGACTTTATGTCTCCCCACTTTAACTTTTGGAAAAGAGGTAACACTTTATTTTTATATTTCCTTAAAAATCATAAAAGACAATGGACATAAAAGCATTGCCCACGTGACGACGATGTGATCATATTTAAACGGAACGCTGATCTTATAAAAGATTTCAGTTATCTGTTTGGATTGGTATTGCTTTTATGCCCATCGTCTTTTTCATGTTGAATTATATATGGTTTATGTTAATTATGTTTTATGAATATGTCCTGAAGATGGTCTATTAGACTGAAACGTCCAACGTTGACATTAAACATTAAAACAGCATAATCGCATATTAGAATTTTTGTTTGTTTTTTCAGTATATTTTTCTTCATAGTGTCGGATCTATATCCATATATTTGCTTATATATATATATATATATATATAAAATGGAATTATCGGATTTTTTTTTCAATCAAGCATTAATTCTTATTATTCCAAATATTTTTTAGTAATAGGACATAATGCCTTATTAAAAATTAAATCCATTAATTCCTTAGAAAGTGTTTTGTTTACATTTCAGAGACAAAAATCAAGCAGAAATGTGCTTATAGGATTTGAACAAGAGAATGTGCATTCTTTAGCTGTCTAAATGAACCTCGCTGGGTTGTGACACTCTTGGTGGCTGAGGGATCTAGAGCATGCCGGATCAGATTTCTCCTATAAAGTGAAACACAGGTTCAAACCCTGCCAGAGAGCACATTTTCTTTAAGTCTCTCAAATCACTGAACAGGCCAGTAGTCTGTTTAAAACAGGATGTCTATGTAAACATTTGTACCACTAAAAATAATATGTGGAGTAATATTGTTTTGTTTTATTCTCTATTTCTTAATTCATATTTCAAGAATAATACCCAAAATGAATAAAACCCACTACTTAAAAGACAATAAGTGTACAAACCCTGGGGATTTTGAGTGGTTGTCCATCTTTGTTTTTATCATCACATTCTTCCTCTTCTGAATCTGAGGTCTGCACACTGTTTGCTTGATGGAACATCCATGCTGCTTCCCTGATACAGTGTTCAAGTACTGCATACCGAACATTGGCAAAAACTGTGAATGCCGATGGGTTACCACTGAGCTCAATATTAGGGAGCTGGATTTCAAAGGGTTCAGGACTCTTATCTCTCTGAAAACAGAAACAATGATAAAATGATAGATTTCATGACACAAAAAAAAACCTGAAACATAAACAACATGGCTTTCAAAAAGATTTGTTCAGTTTAAGTCATAGATATTTTTATATTCAACATTAACTGTATTAAAAAAACCTTTTCCCAATACTGTAATATTATGTGTTTTAACTCACTAATATAGGTCAAGTAGATCTTCAAAGAGGCTTGACAGCAGCTGACAAAAAGAATTAAATTGAGAAAGACCAGGCTTTCTAGTATAGAACTTGAAAAATAGAGAGAATGCTTCATGGTTTTTAATAAGTGTTAGAATTTTAGGAAAAATTTAAAAAAAAAAAAAAAAAAAAAAAAAAAAAAATTAAAGATTTTGTGAAATTTGGAGGTTTGAGGAATTGGTCATTTAATACAAAAGAGTACAGCACTTTACCTATCCAGGGTACTCAGCAAGTCAGGCAAAAAAAAAAAAAAAATGACACGTATAAATTACTACTTTGACTAAAATCAAAAATTATCTTCAAAACCATTTGAAATTAAATCGGTTATACAAACCTATCCATTAGATTGGTGTGGTTTCTTGAGCAAAATAATTTCAAAAAGCTCCCCAAAAGAAAGTTAACAGGGTTCTGTAATTTGTTTACACAAAGATATATTTACCAGTGGTCTTACAAGAATAATAGTTTTCAGGAAAGTAAGTTACCAAAAATCAGTCCAGTACATTTCAGTATTAATGATCAAATAGTACAAATACATCATTGACAACAATCCAATGGGTTGGCTTCACATATAAACAATTCAAACCAACTAAAGTGAACAGTCCTCAATAAACTTCAAGAAAGAATAGACTTCTGCCTAGATTGCTATAGAAGAGAGAGATGCATAAATGGAGAGACAAGGCCAGAATTTCTCATGTAAAGGTAAATAAGCAAACACAAACTACCACTGTTCTATCACCATCATAATTACAAACAAACAATTCAAGTTTCAGACCACTACATATTATTGTAAAGCATTAGAAATAAGAAAAGGAAGCCACTCATTTGAAACACCTATGTACTCAATAAATAAATAAAATATTATTATCTTATTTAAAGGTATTCAATTCTTTTTGGTCATTATTCCAAAACTTAAATAAATATCAGTATCCTATTCACTTTATATGTTTTGTAAAAGAAGCAAGTAACTCAGACTTGCAACATTTCAACCCTGAGCTTGGAAATTCATCAAACAAAATATTAGTAGAGGAATCTCTTGTCCAGGATGTCATGGGGCCAGAGATTGGAACAAGAATCTGTTAGTCAGCTAGTGTTATTTTAATTGAACTGTTGGGCTATCATTCATCAAAATTGCCCAGAAAGGAGTGACAGGTGTCATGTATCATCATCCAGCAACTGTTCGCATAAAAAGAAAAAACTTTCAGGACATGGAACATTAAACAATTGTGACCAGTTGGAAAATGTGAAACAAGAGACAAGTATGTTAAATGTCAACATTTTAGGTGTATGTGAAACTAGGAGACCAAATAATGAAGATTTTGTCAGTGACAACCACAGGATTATATATGCAGGTGGAGAGAAAAATGAAAAAGGAGTTGGACTGATACTAGATCAAGACATCAAGAAATGTGTTCTGAGATACTGTCAGTTATCTGAAAGAATTCTTGTAGTTAAACTGAAAGGAAAGCCTTTCAACATGTCTATTATTATCGTGTATGCACCAACAGAACAAAGTACAGAAGAAGAAATCAAATCTTTCTACTCCATGCTAGACAAGGCCAAAGGTCAAAATCACAAGAAATTATAATTATCATGGGACACCTGAATGCCAAAGTAGGTAAGGAGACGGAAGGAGGAAATAGCTAACAAATTCAGATTCAGAACCTGCAATGAACACGGAGAAAAATGGGTCCAATGGTGCATAGCAAATGACCAGGTAATAGCCAACACCTGGTTCCAAGAACATCCAAGACGATTACCGACATAGAGAAGCCCAGGTGGAGAAACTAAAAACCAAATCGACAACATAACTATCAACAAGAGATTCAAGAATGCAGTTGTTCAATGCAAAACCTATCCAAGTACTGACCGTGAAAGCAACCATCTCTCTGTCATATGTAAACTAAGAATAAAACTATGGAAACTGAAGAAGCCTAATGCAGCACCTAAATTGCAATACAACAAACTCCTGAATGACTCAAACCTGAAGGAAAAATATACAGAGAGTGTGGAAAGAAGATATAAGGGACAAAATGGAAATGGAAACTTGAAGCAGGACACACTAAGAGAAGCTTTATTAATATCAGCAAATGGCATCATCCCAAAGGAAAATCAACAAAGAAAAAAAAAAAAAACAAATGGATCCCAAATGAGATTCTCAACATGATGCAACGAAGACAGAAAACAATGCCAAGACATGGAACGGAATACAGAAAACTACATAATGAAATGCAGACAGGCTAAAAAAGAATGGCTCAATGAAAAATGTGCAGAAATAGAGACAATGAGTAGCAGAGATAAAGGAGATATGCATAAAAAAAGTAAGAGAACTAACAGGAAAAAAAGACATGCTCATCAACAGGCTGCATAAAATCCAAAGATGGAATGGTTATATTAGAAAAAGAAAAAATACTTCCGTGCTGGAACAAAGATATCAAAGATCTCTTCCACAATGAAAGAGAACAACCAGCAACACAGAGAAATACTGATGGGCAGGAAATATTAAAGACCAAAGTGGAAGCAGCACTGTCCAGATTGAACAGAAAAAAAAAAGCTGCAAGACCAGACAGAATTGTAATAGAAATGCAAGATTAGAGAAATAAATGAAATCTACAACAGTGGTAATATATTAGAAGATCTAAGCAGATATATTTTCATAGTTTTATATAATTTTTTCCAACTTCCAACTGAGATGTTTTTCATCAAGATTAAAAATGTTAAACTGCCCAAAGTTCATTTTCAATATTCAAGTACTTTCAATTTGCAATCCTTGATAACAACTGTAGTGAAATTCAAAAGTACTGGAATGTATAAAAATGAACTTTAGGCAGTTTAACATTTTTAATCTTGATGTACAAGTCCTCAGTTGAAAAAACTATATAAAAAGTTAAATAGACAAATCTTGCTAGTGTTATTCAATAAAACTTGTTTGGAGATTATATATAAAAAACACAATAAAAATATTCATAAGCTATACCATGAACAGTTTTATAGGATGGGTTCATGAGAGTATTGATTGTTAAAATAAAACTTCTATATGTGTGTCTTGTGAAAAATATATCACAATGAAGATTTTTCCTCAAAGAGAACATTGCTATTGTTTCTTCTAACTGACAGCAACTCTGAATTTTTCTGTGTACACTCCTTTTTTTTGGTCAAGTAATTAACAATCTGTTCAGATATGGCCACTCTCATTACACAATTTCTTATCTGATATAGCCTTAACTATGTGAATGTCTATTCTCAACCTTTTATCTTGTACATTTTCTGAAGAAGAGAATACTGCCATAAAACCTTTATCTCTGAAACAGATTTTTGTTTTCATCTCAGCTCAATCCAACATTTTTTTTTATGAGACTTGCAATATAATATAGCTGTGTAAGGACAGTAATGTAGTTGTTATTGCACACAAGGTTGATTTAACCATCCTGGCAAAGTTTAACATATGCAAAAAAAAAAAAAAAAAAAAAAACCTGTGCAAAGAGGATGTTTTTTTTTCTCTTGACACTATTACTGTATATTACCTTAGGGATTTTTATTGTTTTAAAAAGATTTTTAACATTTTTTGTTGTCAACTCTAGGGAAAAAAAAAAGGGATAAATCCAGATGCTTGCAACTTATTTTAGGGAATTTATGTGGCGAGAACAAATGAAAGAAATGCTCTGAAAATAAATTTTTTTCAAAACTTATAATTTCACTTATTTGTAGTTATGGGTTTCTTTACTTTCTCTTGTTTACAGGCAGGTTTATAAATTTATAAATTAAATTTTTTTATTTTTTTTATATTGAAAAAATTTTTTTTAATCATTTCATCCCAAGTAAGGCAATAAAGCCACTAAGATACAAGTGGAAAAAATATGAGAAAAAAAAACCTTATTAAGGAGAGAGACTAATAAAAGAACTGAGAATAAGACAAAAGATAACAATTGGCATTGCATTTAAATTTTTGAAGATCAAAATTGACTGGAAAGCAAAAAGCTGGAAGAGAGTTCCACAAGTGAGAAATGTGAGAGAAGAAACTGTTAGCATTGAACTTATGGTTACATTTTACCATTTCAACTGTAAAATGATGAGAACTTACTGCCAATGTAGTACTGCACTTAAATTCATAAAAATCGAGGTACTAAAAAGGAAAGCTCATCAAAACAATTACCATGAACATATTTATAGAAAAGACACAAGGAAGCTACATTATGGTGATGAGAAAATGACTGAAGCCAAGATGGCAGATAAGGACCAATAACATTGCAGATTTTTCTTTGTATTTTATCAAGAATTTCTAAATATATAAAAGCATCAGACTAGATGTAGCAGTAATATTCAATGAATGGTAGACTTATAAATGTGTAAGATAAATTCTTGTGAGAAAAATTGTCTATCACAACACAATGAACTAATTTTCCTAGAAGCAGACATCATAATTGATTTAATAACTTATTCAATATGAGTAAATCATAAGCCAATTATAGCTGGTTTATAAACATGTAAATATAAAATTATTCTTGTTAATAAACAATCTAATAGTATTTAATTCATTTGTTGTCAATTCTTGAGAAAAAAAGAATGCGTAAACCCAGTTTCATATGTTTGGTTTTTATATTGTTCTCAAGGACAGTGGATAAAGGTGTTGGTTAGATCCAGTGACAGGACCC